TACATACATACATACATACCACACACACAGCACACACACACACACACACACACACACACACACACACACACACCACACACACAACACACACACACACACTTACATACAAACGTACGTACGTGCCTGCGTCGTGCGTGCGTGCGTGCGTACGTACGTAACGCACGGCTCGCACGCACGCGCATACACACAGACGCACACACACGCATACACACGCGCGCACACACCGCCGCGGCGCACACACCACACACACACACATACACACACGCGCGCGCGCACGCACACGCACACCGCACGCACGCACGCACGACGCACAGCACGCAACGCACACACTGTGACTCGTGAGAAACTTCAAACGCGAGCAGCGCGCGCTTACTTACTCCAATATGTATCGATTGCTCAAGGTTGTCTTCGTTTCTTCGCCAGGTGACTGCGGCTTCGGCGCATGGACGGCGTGGGAGCCGTGCTCGGTCTCGTGCGGCGGGGCTTCAGCGTACGGACCCGCAGCGTCACCGCACCGGCGGCGAACGTGGCATGTGCGACCAGCCAACAGCACAGACGCATCGCCTGCAACGTAACCCGTGTGGTACGTACTACGCACTACTACTACTGCTGATGATACGGCTGTTGCCTGCTGCGCGCTACTGCTGCTGCTAACCTACTGCTGATGATAGGCTGTTGCTGTGCTGCTGCTACTGCTGGCTGCTACTACTGCGCACGGCTACTACTGCTGCTGGCTACTGTGCATGCTGCTGCTACTACTGTCTGTTGTGCTGCTGCTACTGCTGCTGCTATACTGCTGCTACTACTGCTGCTACTGGTGCTGCTATACTGACGCACACACACGCATACACACGCGCGCACACACGCCCGCGCGCACACACACACACACACATACACACGCGCGCGCGCGCACGCACACGCACACCGCACGCACGCACGCACGCACGCACGCACGCACGCACACACGCACACACTGTGACTCGTGAGAAACTTCAACGGCGAGCAGCGCGCGCATACTTACTCACTATGTATCGATTGCTCAAGGTTGCTTCGTTTCTTCGCCAGGTGACTGCGGCTTCGGCGCATGGACGGCGTGGGAGCCGTGCTCGGTCTCGTGTGGCGGTGGCTTCAGCGTACGGACCCGTAGCGTCACCGCACCGGCGGCGAACGGTGGCATGTGCGACCAGCCGACAGCACAGACCATCGCCTGCAACGTAACCCCGTGTGGTACGTACTACGCACTACTGCTACTGCTGATGATACGGCTGTTGCTGCTGCTGCTACTGCTGCTGCTACTACTGCTGCTACTACTGCTGCTACTGGTGCTGCTACTACTGCTGCTGTTGCTGCTGCTGCTACTGCTGCTGCTACTACTGCTGCTACTACTGCTGCTGCTACTGCTGCTGCTACTACTGCTGCTACTACTGCTGCTGCTACTGGTGCTGCTGCTGCTAATACTGCTGTTGCTGCTGCTGCTACTGCTGCTGCTACTACTGCTGCTACTACTGCTGCTACTGGTGCTGCTTCGGAAAGAGAAAGAGGAGATTGAGAGAAAGACAGAGCACGAAACAGGGAGAAAGAGGGGAAGAGAGAGAAACAATTAGAGAGAGCGCGAGAGTGAGAACCACACACAGGCATATAGAGAGTGAAAGAGAGAGCGCGCAAGAGAGCGAGAGAGAGAAACTCAACCCCGGGAAAGAGCAGAGGTTGAAGAGGAGAGAGCAGATGAGAGAGAGAGTGAGGAGAGAGAGAGAGAAAGCGAGAGAGAAAGATAGAAATAGGGAGAGAAGGAGAGAGAGAGAGGCGGCCTTCCGCATAGCACTTGCTCAACGCAAGCAGTACACACACACACACACAACACACACACTCACCACACACAACCACACAACACACACACACACAACACACACACACACACCACCACAGCGACATGTGAAACCTTTCTGCTTTCTGTTATGTTGGCGATCAACTGCCCACCAGGGCAAGATCCTGGTATGCGTGTGCAACAAAACTGTCCGTTGACAACTCGATGACATCGGCAAACGACAGATGCATGCTCGGTCGGCGGTGACGCCTGTCAACGGACATGCGTGTGCCAGATGGAGCAGTAAGTATGGATGTGACTAGCATTAAGCACCCCGTTTCACGATTTTGTTTCTTTTCAGCTTTGTCCTTCTTCGTGGTCCCACCTGCTTCTGATTTTCCTTCTCACCTTCTGCCTACATAAGCTTCTCATTCGCTCCTGCTCGTTGTTTCCTCAGGTGAGTTCATCGTCATCCATCCATCATCATTTCATCCATCATATCATATCATTATCTTATTTCTGTTCTATTTTTGAAGGTGAAGGTGGAGGTGGGGCGGTGAGGCTATGTGACGTAACGTGAGGTAAGGGATTACCTTGAGCGAATATCACACAGCGAGACAGAACATCACAGCGAATGAAACCCCAACTTGTACACGTACCATTAATGCGGAATAATATTATTTGTTAATACTCGCGCCAATAAATAAGGAATACTCTCTCGGCGTGTGTAACTTAGCTCTGCTCTTTCTCATGACAGCGCCTATAGGTTTTCGGCGGCTTGACGACAGCGATGCGTGCCCATCTCGGAGGGCCTTAACTAGCCGTGAGTGCGGAGTTGGCAAGCCAGCGGGAAACACCGCCAGCGCTCGACGCAGCCGTGCTTGCGATCGACCGCTCCCACAGCGCACGTGACTGCAAGAAGGACTGCCTCAATGGTGAGCGTGTGCAGTCGGAACGCACGTGTGCGTGTACGGCACGCTCGTGTGCGCGCACGGACATACATTTCTGGGCTGTTTATATATCTGTTCATATGCTGTCATTATCTGTCTGTATATCTGTCTTATAACTTTCTGTCTATACATCTGTTATATCTGTCTTATATCTGTTTATAACTTTTTCTGTTTATATCTAGTTGTAATCTGTCTATATTGTCTTCTTCTTTCTTTATCTATCTATTATATCTGTTTTCTGATATCGTGTCTTCCTTTTGTTCATATTTATGTCTTATAATTTTCTCTGTCTTATATCTTGTCTCAGTATCTGTACTCTCGAGATCTGTCTTCTATCTGTCTCTATGACGTTCTCTGTCTTATATCTGTCTTATATCTGTCTCATAACTTCTCGTCTCAGCAGTGCATCGGCGGTATATTCACGTGTAACGGAGGGCCCTCAGCACTGCCCCCCACATCACAACTGTCTGTGGGCGAGACTTGGATGCCTGTAGTACATGCGTAACGCACTGTGGCCTGGGACCAAATCATACACGACGCAGAGACGGTGAGGTGGGCGGTCGCCGGCCGACAGCACGGAGGCTCTAGAGTGCTGAGCGGCCAGGTCTATGTCCGAGGAGCCATGAACGTCGGCCGTGCGGGGGTAGGTGGCGCTAAATTTTTGTTTAGCAGATGCAGTGTTTCCATGCCTCCTTGGTGATATAAATAGTATATTATAAATAATAACAATAATCTAATAATATCAGTATATATATGGCTATGTATATGATATTTATATACGGTATATATATATAATCACACTATTATGTGTGGATGTAGCTATATCTGTAATGCCTGTAAAATTTTAAATGCTAGTATTCCTTCCGTGCCGCAGTTGCATTCCGTAAGGACCTCCTGTAACGCTTCATCGTACAGTACTGCCAAAGCCGTAAGCATATGTCGCTCCGCCGCTTTCAAGCTCGGGTTTATTTCTTCTGAACTACTCACTTTGCGACATTATTACATATATATTATTGTATTTATTATATATATTATATTTAATATTACATATTTATTATATTCTATAGTATATACTATATTATATTATATATATATTCTCATATATATTAGTATACATAAGTTTGATATACGATGTAGACAATGCTATATATAATACGGTCTTTCCAGAAGTGCACGTGACAGGAAGAGGATTTGGTTCGGCGATTCGGCACCGCCACACTGTCTACCACTGCGGAAAAACTATGTTTGAATCCCAAGCCCACCTCGCGGCTGCTTGCGTGGCCGGATGCGGAGTGTCCAGCCAGGCAACGACTAGAGTGCGGCCTGATGCCCACATTGCACTGAGAAAGCAGTAGACCGCGGTGCGGCTGCATCTGACAGGCTAGACGGAATTCGCGATGAGCGTGAGCAAACGGTTAGTCTAAAGAGTAAAGTTGCGGATACATAGCACTCTCACATCACACACACCGCACGCAACGCAAGACACCAACGCACTGCGCACACTCACGCGTACGCGGCGCACACAGCAAGCCATTAACGCGCGCACAACACAACACACACACAACACGCACACAATCGGCGCGCGCGGCGCACACACGCACACATACAGCACCACACACGACGCCGCACGACGCCACACAACAAGCACACACACACGTCGCGCGCACACGCAACACGGCACACGCCACACGCGACACGCGACGCACCACGCACACGCGCGCACAACACGCGCGCGCACCCGGCACGTACACCGCGCAGCGCCCACACGACCGACACACACGCAACGCCGCGCACACGCACACGCACACACATCACAACCGCACACAACACCACGCACACACACACACACGCACACACAACCACACCACACACACACACGCACACACACACACACAAACACGCACACACGCAACACACACACACACACACACGCACCGACACACACACGCAGCAACACACACACACACACACACCAACACGCACACACACACACACCACACGCACACATCACACACCACAACAACACCACACGCCACGACACACACAACACACACACGCCACACACGACGCACAGACACACACACACACACATTGTAATACCTCAAACGATCGTTATGATCACAACCACAAAATGCACAACACTGACACACACACCACACACATCACACACACACGCACACACACACACACACACATACGCACACACACGACACACAACACACACAACACACACACACACACACAACACACCACACACACAACCACACAACAACACCACACACACAACACACACAACACCAACACACCACACAACCACACACACAACCTACACACACACACACACACACACACACGACAACACACACAACAGCACACACACACACTACACACACACACACTCACACACACACACACACCACACACCACACACACACACACACACACACACATTACGACACACACACACACACACACCACACACACACACACACACCACCACACACACACACACACACACACACACACACCACACACACACCACACACACACACACCCCACACACCACACACGCACGCACACGACCACAACACACCACACACACACACAACACACACACAACACAACACACCACACACACACACACACACAACACACACACAACACACACACACACACACAACACACACAGCACACAGGCACAAACTAACGACCACACACAACACACACACACACACACACACACACACAACACACACACACACACACACACACACACACACAAGCTTCTTTTCGTCCCTTGCTTACTCACTACGGCGTGTTGTTTTCGTCCTCACAGGCCCACGATAAGTATAATATTATAAGATATGAGATACCGAACGCTACAAGATATAAATATAACAATATAGATATGCGATAGTAAAATACAAGTATAAGTGATAAAATATAAGATATGAGATATAAGATATAGAGATAGGAGAACAAGGATACCGTTTATTTCATCGCCTTTCAATTCGATCCGGCAAGCAACCTCAGACGCTGGATCTCGGAGACGGGTGGCTCCTCCACTGCATCCAGCGTTTCGCTGGGACCAAGAAAGCTGTAAATCCGCCATCTTGTGACGTCACGAGCATGCCCAGAGCGGAATCGACTACCTATCGCCGGAATTCTGTCGCGCGTCTGCTACGCGATAGGTGGGTGCTTGCGGGCGTGGCGACGGCATGCGGCCACAGGACACACCACACACACACAATACACACACACACACACCACACACCCACACATTACGACACCACAGCACACACACACAACCACACCATACACAACACAGCACACACAGCACACCAAGGTGAATTTTACGCGTGCGCCGGTGTTTTCACAATCGTTTCGCAGGTGGCGCTATCATCGCGCAGTTGTGGCTAGGTCCCCACTCCCACCCGGGCTGTGATACACGGGGTAAGCTGCTACCACCCTCCCCCAATCCACCCATTAGTGTGATACACGGGGTAAGCTGCTACCACCCTCCCCCAATCCACAAAATCTGCGAAGTACATAATAAAGGTTACATAGTAAACGTTTTTTTTAGTAAAAAAAGGTAATATATATGGTTGTCGACAAACATCGGGTGATTTCGGAGAGTCTAGACTAATATGTCACACAGTTGAAAAACTGACCGTGGCGCCACCTACCGGTCGTAATATTCCTAACACTTACCGCTCTTTCGCACCGACAGTTGAGCCGCCGACGTGCCGTCTCTCTAGCAACGTACGCAACGTCACCGACGGCAACGGCTGCTACGCCATCGACGTCAACGTGACGTCATGCATCGGATCTTGCCCATCTAGCGAGACTACGCTCTTCTTCGACCTTCTCAATCGACAGACGGAGAAGGACTGCTCGTGCTGCATGGGAGTGAAGGAGTGGGCGGAGATGCTCTTGTATTGTACAGATGGCAGCACGAGGACGGTGCAGTACGAGAAGATACTCAGCTGCGGTTGCGAGACTGTGGATTGTTTCGGTGAGTAGATGGAAAGAGGAAAGGGAGTGAGCATAGGCGCCAAGAACTGTTTACTTGTTACCGTTTCTACTGTCTTGTATTTCATGGCGGAAGGGTACGCCACTCAAAACGTGATGGGTCATTGCCAACTGTTGCGTAGAGATTTATTATATTCATGAAAATTATATTCCAGCATGTATCAGAAACCAATGTATTGCGTTATATACGCTACTGACTGACTGATTGATTGATTAATTAATTAATTAATTAATTAATTTATTTGTTCATTTATTCATTGATTGGTTGATTGATTGGTTGGTTGGTTGGTTAGTTGGTTGATTGGTTGGTTGATTGGTTAATTGTTTGAATGATTGGTTGATTGATTGGTTGATTGATTAAATGAGTGATTGATTGATAGGATGGAGATAGAAAGAGATGAGAATCTAGAACCTTCAGATAGTTCTGTTTAGTTCCTTCACTTCTTCATAATACGTGTATATCCGTTACTATTTCAGCTAATGTGGCCAGAAGACGATGAGAACCCCGATTATGTCATACTGTCATGGAATACGTCAGAGATGTGATGCATATCGACCCAAGGACCATACAACGGAAAACGAGCTCAGATATATTTTCTTCATCCCCGTACGTCCCACCCCTCCCCCGTCCCACGTTTCACCTCTCGCTGCCTCATTCGTCAATAGTCTCCTTCTCCACTGCATTGCGAAACCCGCTCCCTTTCTCTCTTCTTTTCACTCAAACCCTCTTCCCTTCCGTCTGAGTGGGCTAGTATGTTCTACTAGCCTTGTATAAAGCTCTGCCGCAATCAAAAATTAAAAAAAAAAGCAGAGTTTAGTTTAGTTACACGTTTAACAAGCCATGTAGGTGAGAGAGCACTGCAAGCAACCGTGATCGTATGTTATACGACATTTCGCGAGACTAACCTTTGGGCTGGCCCGTTTTTATTTCATTTCTGTATTACAGTGATGAGTTGTTATTAATTTTATTAATTGAAGTACATTAGTATATTAACTACTCTACTAAAGTATGCGGTATATTATTACACTAGCGATGATGCATCTTATTTGCTAAATTGATATACCTGACGAAATGCTTATACGTGAAACGGATTCTATCGATATATATTTCGGGTGCTTGAAGTGTAGGCTATATATATACGGATCATTAATAACATGGACTGGCATGTTTGTGTCGCCCCAGTGTCATGCGGTGTCGTCACGACAGTAATGACATCCGGCTTCCACTGAGAATAATATGGGATATGTTCACCTGAGATCGGAGATGGAACACCCGCACCCCACCACCCGTATAGTGGGATACCTGTTGGAACAATAATTGACTTCGATTTTTTGTAACTGCATGTATTCGTCCACGCCTACTCGCATCTGCCTTACATGGCTTGTTACATTTTTACATCATGTGTATGCACGGACAGAAAGGTTTGGTCGGATTCCGGCACCGCACACTGTCTCACCTGCGAAACTATGTTTGATCCCAACCCACCTGCGTGCTTGCCCGTGGCCGGATGCGAGTGTCCAGCAGGCACGATAGAGGGCGCTGATGGCACATGCATGGAGCCAGTAGACGCGTGCGGCTGCATTGACGCTAACGGAATTCCGCGTGAGGTGAGCGAAACGGTAGTCTAAGAGTAAAGTCTGCGGATACATATGCACTTACACACACACACGCACGCAAACGCACGCACACACACTCGCGGTGTTGTTTCGTCCTCACGCACAGATAAGATATAATATATAAGATATGAGATACAAGATACAAGATATAAAATATAAGATATGAGATACAAGATACAAGATATTAGATACAAGATATAAGATATGCGATATAAGATACAAGACATAAGATATAAAATATAATATATAAGATATGAGATATATATTATATAAGATATAAGATGTAAGATATAAAATATAAGATATGCGATATAAAATACAAGATATAAGATATAAAATATAAGATATGAGATATGAGATATAAGATATAAGATAGGAGAACAAGATACAGTTTTATTTATCGCTTTCAATTCATCCGCGCAGAGCAACGAGACGTGGATCTCGGAGACCGGCTGCTCCTCCTGCATATGCGTCGCTGGCCAAGAAAGCTGTAATCCGCCATCTTGTGACGTCACGAGCTGCCCGAGCGGATACGAACTCACCTACCCGCCAGGGGAATGCTGCCCCGTCTGCTCGCCGATAGGTGGGTGCTTGCGGCGTGGCGACGGCATGGCGCCACAGACACACACACACACACACACACACACACACACACACACACACACACACACATACACACACACATACACACACGCACATGGTGGCATCTACCCGAAGAACACGCTCTGTCAGTACACTTTCTTCGGTAAGTGGTTTAATCAACTATATTGTACACACGCGCAAACGCACACACGCTGCGAGAAGGAGAGAGAGAGAAGGCGAGCCTTCCGCGCTATCATGCACTTGCTCACGCAAGCAGGTACACACACACACACACACACACACACACACACACACACACACACACACACACACACACACACACACACACCACATGCGTATAACATGGTGAAACTTTTCTGCTTTCTGTAGTTGGCGATCAATGCCCACCAGGCAAGATCCTGGATGCGTGTGCCAACCAAAACTGTCCGTTGACAACTGATGACATCGGCAACACGACAGAATGCATTGCCTCGGTCGGCGTGTGTGTCAACGGATGCGTGTGCCCAGATGGCGCGGTAAGTACGATGTGACAGCCATAAGCACCCCCGTTTCACGATTTTGTTTTCTTCAGCTTTGTCCTTCTTCGTGTTCCACCTGCTTTCATCGTTTTCCTTCTCCACCTTCTGCCTAGATAAGCTTCTCATTCGCCTCCTGCTCATTGTTTCCTCGGTGATTCATCGTCATCATCATCATCATCATCATCATCATCATCATCATCATTATCTTCATCTTCTTCTTTTTTGAAGTGAGGTGAGGTGGGGTGAGGCTATGTGAGGTAACGTGAGGTAAGGGATTACCTTGGCAATAATCAACAGGAGACCAGAATCACAGCGAATGAAACCCCACGGACACGTACCATTAATGCGGAATAATATTATTTGTTAATACACACGCACAATAAATAAAGGAAACTCTCTCGCGTGTGATAACTAGCCTCTGCTTCTTTCTCATGCACGCGCTTATAGGTTCTGCGGCTTGACGACAGCGCATGCGTGCCCATCTCGGAGGCCTACTGCCCGTGGAGTGCGGAGTTGGAAGCAGCGGGAACACCGCAGCCGCTCGACGCAGCCGGCCTGCCGATCGACCGCTTCCCGCCAGGCACCGTGCTGAAGAAGGACTGCCTCAACTGGTGAGCGTGTGCAGTCGGCGACGTGTGCGTGTACGCGCACGCTCGTGTGCGCGCACGGACATACATCTTCTTCTGTCTTATATCTGTCTCATATCTGTCTTTTATCTGTCTTATATCTGTCTTATAACTTTTCTGTCTTATATCTGTTTATATCTGTCTTATATCTGTCTTATAACTTTTCTGTCTTATATCTGTTTATATCTGTCTTATATCTGTCTTCTTCTGTCTTATATCTATCTTATATGGTCGTGCGTGGTCGCGCGTGTTGTGTGAACTATCCGTGTTCTAAGAGTAAGGAGGCGGCTGGCGTTGGGCGTGGTGTACTAGCACACGATTGAATTCAAGAATTCAATCTCTGATGGCCTTCGCGTGTCCGCATCCTCTCGACTATACCCTGTTGTAACAGCTGCGCCGCCACGAAGTTTTGTTTGAGGTCGGTCAGATTCTCCTCAGCAGCCGAGCTTGTCTGTGCTGCTCACCATTCGTCTTGTGGCTTCCAACAATTCTGCTGTGTGGTGATGCCTGAGCTCAGGCTGAACGATCTGTCTTGCTGTCCGCAGTATCAGGTAAAACACGATGGCAACACTCGTCGTGATCGGCCTTGCCGCGAGTAAAAGCACTCGTAGCAAGCTAGTCGCGGAAGCAGACGCATCCACACCCTATGCTCGTTACACCCACCTACTCAGCATAGTATACTCCAAACCTACTCCAATATGTCACTAACACATACTACAATAGTACAAACACCTACTACCATCAGTACTAACTAACACTATACCATAGATAACACCTACTAGCATGTACTAACACCTACTACAATAGACTCAACACCTACTACCATATGTACGTTTACTAACACCTATACTAACCATCGACTAACACCTACTAGCATAGTCTATAACATCTATAACATAGTCACTCAACACCTAACTCTACATATACTACACCTACTCCATAGTAACTACACCTACCTACATAGTACGGTACTAACACCCTACTCCATAGACTAACACCTCTAACTAGCATAGTACCAACACTACTGCACTGTGGTATAACACCTACTACCATAGTACTAACACCTCTACCAATAGTAATGAACGACCTACAACATATAACGTACTAAACACCTACTACATAGAACTAACTCCCTACTACATAGTACTAACACCCTTACCTACCATGGTAACTCCAACACCTATAGCATATAGTACTTAACCACCTCATACTACCCATAGTACTCAACACCCACTACCATAGTACTAACACCTACTATATATACAACCACTGCTACTAACCGATAGTACTACACCGTACTAACCATACGCACTCGAACACCCCTTACTTTGCTACATACGTACTAACTACCAAGTAATATCTGCCATAGTACTAACCACCCTACTTACATAGTCTAAACCTACTACGCCTACTACCAAGTACTAACACCTACTACATACGTACTAAACCCCTACTACCATAGTATATAACATCTTACCTACATGTACTAACCACCTGCACCATAGTACAACACCTACACATAGTACTTTAACACCTACTACATATACTAACACCGTACTAATACGTACTTACTAACCACCTTATCTACATAGAACTAACACCCTACTAGCATAGTACCTCCATACACCTACTACCATGGACTGAATACACCTACTAGCATAGTACTAACACCGCAACCTACCATAGACTACTAAACCTGTACTAGCTATAAGTACAACCCTACTACCCCATAGAATACCACACCTACTGCAATAGTACTATACAGTTTACTACCGATAGTACTCTAACCACACTCATAGTACTTAACACCTACTACATACGTACGTACACCTCCTTACTACTACACTACTAACAACTTACTATATACACACTACTACCATGGACTAACACCTATACCATAGTACTAAACACCTACTCACCATCGGACACACACCTAACTAGCATAGCGTACTAACATCCTACTACCATAAGATTTAACACCTACTA